CAGCAGGGAAAGAAGCCACACAAATAAGTAGCAAAAAAACTCCACACTTTATTTCAACCTTTATCCAAAAATGTAAAAAATATAAGAAATGTGTAGTCCTGAGCTTCAGATGCTGACCTCCAATCTCATAGGCAAGTGGGGAGAGAGGGTCAGGATAAAAATTCAGAGTTCCTCCCACTCCTGGAGAAAAGGGAAACCCCAGACATGGTATAGGATTAGAAAACCATGGCCCTGTGGAGAATGGGACCCCTCTCTTCTATCACCAGCCCAAGACCCCACCCACCCACCCCCACACTCCCTCTTCAACAGAGAAAACACAAAATTCTTGGAACTTGTGCAGGAACCTGGTGCATGGTACATGTGGCAGGCAGCTAGCTGACCTGCAGAGAGCAAACAAGGGGTCAGCATCTAGGCCCACACCTGCTCCTTCTGCCTGCCCCACAACTCCCGACTCTGCTGGGCATGCCTACCCCCAACTTACCAGGAAGGGTTAGGGCCTGCCCCCTTGCTTCTTAGCAGGCAAGATGGGACACAACTCAGCTTCCTCCTCCTCACTTCCCTCTTCTTCACTCTCTTCCTCAGAAAGGTCATTGCTTATAGTAACTGGTAGGCACACAAGCAATACAGGGAGGGAAGTTAAAGCCACACTCCCTTCATACCACACGTTATTTATTCATGCCCTGTGGCTCTAGGCTTGCGGGACCCTCACCTCCCAGAGCTTATGGTCTGTGGGAAAAACTTCAGATACTAAACTAGATGACAAAGAGCCAAAGGAGTCCACATCACTGGAACTGGAGAAGCTAGACAGGTTCCATGAAGGAGAATGGCTTGAGTAGGACAGAAAGTGGAGGACACATCATAAAGGGTCTGTATGGGAACTGCACTGGGAGATAAGGTTGAGGTGGGGCAGGAATCCTGATGGAGAGTCCACTGGAAGCAAGCGAGAAGATTTACCAATCTGGTGCCGCCCAGTGATCCGCACAGGGCCAGAACCTGACTTCAGGCGGAAGGTCACAGGTGGTTGGAGCTGGAAGTCATCCAAACTGAGCTGGAAGGAAAACAAGGATGAAGGCCTGGCACACCCCATCTTGTGAGGAGTTCGTAAGTCGTCAATTCCTACCTCTCAACCCCATAAGGTATGGCCAGGGAACTCACCATAGGTTGGCAGGACAACTTTAGGTTGGCCACAGGGACTGCAATCTCCTGGTGGTCATGGTTCCTGGCCACAACTTCTACCACGTTACACTCATCTTTGGCTCCTTCGGTGAGGCAGAGCTAGGAAGGATACACAGGGCTTCGGAGTTTCCCCAAGTGAGGGTGGACACCACAAACTTGCCCAGCCTCAGAGGTCCCTGGATCACCTGGCCAGGGGAGCCCTCTATGTCGGGGTTAGGCAGAGGAGGTGACTCCCAGTAAACGAGGGAAGGGGAGAGACGCGGGTAGAGGACCACCGGTTGCCTGCTGAGGTAGAGCTATTAACCGCCAACCCCCTTCCTCGCCCCTTACCATGGTCAAAGCCAGCACGTGCTCCGCATCATCTTCTTCCTCTACCTTGAAGGTGAAAGAGCGGGTGTGGCCCGAAAGCTCACAACCTGTAAGAGATAACGGTGAGTGGTGAGTGTGCGTAAATATGTGGGTATGTTTTCACCGAATCCCGTTCACGTGCAGCCAAGGTCTGACCGGCCATTCACACGCCCACTTCTCAGGAACACCTGGAGCTCTCAGCCTGGGCCCCGCCTCGCGTATCTGGGACAGGGTCCCGGCCACCCGCTTCTGCTAGAGCTGCCGCATGCGAGGCCCCCTCCGCCCTCACGTCGTGCATCTTTCCTATTCCTCAGCCCTGCCTCCGACCGCCCCAGTACCACCCTCAGCCCCTCCTTTCCTCAATACCGAAGAAAAAACTGTCCATAGTGACCGGGGCCGGGACTCGCAGACCGCCTATACCCCCGGCACGAGTTCGGCTCTCCTGATTCAAAAACGCCAAGGCGGAGGCGGCGCCGGCGGCCATGCTGCAAGGGCCGTCTGTGGCCCCGCCCCGACACGTACAAAGCCGGGGACTCTCTGCGGTTTCGGCTCCGCCTATTAAAGGAGACTCGCCAGGCGCCCGGGGTCCAGGGTTCCATCGCCCCGTCTCGGCTCAGGAGTCTCAGGCCGGTGCATCGAGACCGCAGAGTAAGTATCATTAAAGATGGATTTGGGATTAACATTAACGCCCTGGCTCACTTCCATGACCAAGACTCTTAAGGGCGGCTCCTGCCTCCATTTTCTCTAATTCCGCTCACCCTCTAGTGTCCCCCAACCCAAGGTAAGCTTTCTTTAAAGAAGTGTATATAAATGAAGCCTTTCCAATTCTCCCAGCAAAGGCGAGATACAGTGCAGCGTTTTTCTTATAAAAGCAAAGGAAATACGCTCAGATTTGCCTTTTCTCCAAGGGAGCCGAGGAGCCTGAAGGAAGACTTTCAGTTCTAGGTATTCTGCCCAAACCACTCAGTCCATTCCTGGACACGCTTCCTACTCTTACGACCCTGCACCTCTATCCAGATGGCACATCATCTTCACTGAGATTCAAAAGCTGGCTGGATGCTGGTGATTGCTAGAAGAGGACGTTAGCTCAAGCGTGGGACTAACTGCAGTTTCTGGCAGAGGCGTGCTAGTCCAGTAACATCTTTCTGCCTTGGACTCCCCGTCTTGTAATATAGGCTACGCCTCCAACTTTCACCTTTTGATCAAAGAATCAGGCAAATTCTGTTCCTTATTCTATTACATGACAGGAACTCACTCAAACTAGCTGCCCTAATTCACACCCAGGTTGTAACTGTGGCAAGCAAGTGGCTTGGCTAAGAACTAGTCTTTTCTTTTCCCTTGCCTTGAGGAGAATCTGGAAGGCAATCTTTTACTGGGAGTGCGGGAGGACTGCCTTTGAAATCCAACTTCGAACAGCTGCTGAGAGGCAGAATACCGGCTTGTAGGTGAGGCATGAAGGGCAGAAAGAGGAGGAAGAAAAGGAAGGTTTACAATAGTACACCACGCACATTCACTTCAAGTTTTATTTTGCCTCTTGCAATGGTCTTCAGATAGTTTTACAGTTCGTTTTCTACAGGAACTGAGCTGTGATCTAATAAACAATCAATGAAATGTCATCCCAATCTTAATAAATATTCATAACCATAGAGAAGACAGCATAGCACTTTATGATCCTAGAGGCCTGAAAATCTGTTTCATAGTTAGCTCTGTGACCAGAAGACCAGCCAAACTGATAATTAAAAGCCAAGATAAAGCCACAAGCAAACTTGCTAAAATCCTGATTCCATAAGAGGTTGACCATGAAATTCTCCAGATAAAATGCTAGAAATTGTCCACTCATGTACAAAATGTACTTAGAGAAAACC